TATCACAAGAAATCGAGGTAAATCCACTTATAAAAAGCAATACAGAGGCCACAAAATCCTGATCTCACTATCTAAATATAAGCCTAAACTTCGCCCTTACCCAAACCTTAACCCTAACTTTCACTCGAACACTAACGCTGACGCTGGACATAACTCTTTTCCCAACCATGTTGCTTTTTTAAACGGTTCGTGACTTTTGACGGAGTCGTTCAAATCTTAGAGGTGCTTATGTAGTTGGCAAACAGAGGAGTCTTTAGAATTGGACAATAAACCGACCTTTCCGTATGTTTCAGCAGACGAAATGTGAGTATAGCAGAAGAGAAAGCTTAACTGATTTAATGTAAAGAGCATCGTCATATGCTCATGTCGAGCCCAAATCCGCTGGTCGTAGCAGGTGGGTAGATGAAAGGGAGGTCAGGGCATGCGATCAAAAAGTATCGGTCTCTGTAATCTGGAGCTTGTGTGTAGGCCAGTTCCTCCGCCGACTCGGAATAAGGCCGACACCGACTCTTAGGAAGCGTTTAGTTGCCTCGGCTTCGTCCTCGAGACAAAACGACCTCGAGGGCAGACGTGCGCCTCCAGGTAGGTTGAAGAAAATAGGCATTTTGGCTGTACCGGCAGAGGGACGAGTGGACACGCGTATCTTGACTGTTCGACCTCCGAAGGCCATTAACTTGCCGTGCCGACATAGTCCGTCCTCAATCCGGGCGCTTTCTCCTCGTCATCAGGATCTCTGTGAAGCGGGCGATTTGGACGATTTGTGGCCAAATAGGCTGGTTTAGCGGGGCTTTGGGGCTGAGTGATTGGCTGGTGGTAGAATGTGGCAAGGAAGCCGGCTGATGAGGGGAACAATGGTGGAGGAAGTCTGAAGCAGCTGATGGCATCATCGCAGAAAAGGTCTGCCCCCCCCGACTCAACCTCTACGGCCGTCTTCTCCGTCACCTCGGGTCCCAGATGCTCCTGGAGACAAGTCACTCTGGTTTTGCCCCCAGACGTACTTCTTCCAAGAGTAGGCGGCGAGACGGTCAGAGGTGGAGCCGGCGATGCCCTGGAGTCGTCGAAAGAGATACCGGCCGCCCTGTACTCGCTTGCATCACTGCTGCAGCCGATGGTCTCGCGACTGCACGTGTGGAAACCGAGAAGTCGGCCACAGCTCGACGCCGTTCCGACTGGCATCAAACTGGCCGGCATACGTGACAGCTCGTTGAGCTGGTTCTGAACGGAGGTCAGGCGATGTGTCCAGACGGAAGTGACCCTTCGCTGTTTGGGCTCGTCGGAGGGGGGTGAAGGCGAATACTGGCCCAAATGATGGGCTGGTCGGTGGCCGATTTGATGCGACCGACTGTCCAGCTCCCCACTCCTAAAACTCAACACATGCATGCCGCTAGATTCGGCATCAATTTTCTGCCAAGCTTCGACTTGCTGTTGGCTGGAGGGGTTTAGTTTCTCCCCTCGACTCGTGTACTTCCTATTGTCGGCCTGGATTGTGTTGCTCCAATCTGGCCAGTTCTGGTCGGTAAAGGCCCCATTATTGATAACGACTGAAGCTACCGCCGACTCTGTTGGAGGTGTGTAGGACTTACCACAACAAGGGTACTCCGGCATCCGATGGCAGTAGATTTTCTCGAACTTCCTAGCTCCGTACATGCAGAGACCCTTCCCATTGGCAGACTGCATGGCACACTCGCAAGCGTTGGCGGCCACTTGTGGAAGTTGATGGGTGCAGCACAGACCACATTCGGGACATGTTGTCAGCTCGGCACCTAACTGAGATGCCGTTGAGCAAACGCCGAGGCAGGCAACTCTGTCGTCTCTGGTCGGCCTCCTGTAGCCCTGCTCAGATCCATGGCATCTGTACATGGCTCCGGGGAGCATAACACTTCGAGTCGTCGTGCTGAAGGCGGGTTCGATGAACTGGTGACAGCAGGCCGCCTCTATATGAGGACTCACTTGATGCCCAGCCGCTGGTACCCCAGACGGACCCAGGCAAACGTTGTAACGAGGACAATAGCTCTCCTCGAGGTTTCCAGACACCCTAGCCTCTGGTTTCGGGTTGCCTTCATCGTCTGGTACTCGAGTCAAGAAGTACATAACAGATGTTGCGAGGGGTGAAGGCCGCGGCCATTGCCATGGCTTCATTTTGCCAGTTGTACAGACGTTAATTTCAGAAATCAGAGTCTCTAGCTCCCTGTGACCGGAGACTCGACAGACCCGCCGTCGAATCAACAGCCAGCCGAGTGGTAAACCCAAAATAAGGAGGCAGGCTGTACTGGCAACAAAGGCAATCAACAGATGGTACTGATTCTGACGAAAGCCGAGGTCTTCTTGGTTCGCCCTCGGTCTTTGTGCCGACAGAACTGAGCCTAAAAGAGGACGAAAAAGTGAACTTCCTGCTGTAATACACTTGGCCCAAAACTTTTTAAATGATTCATGATTGAATCCTCTTTTCGCTGTTTGACACGGCAGTACAAATAGCTGGATAGATAAAATCAAGCTTAATTTACTATTTCATGATGAACGACCGTGATATTTCGAGTCAGAATGGGCAGTTTGGGGTATCCTCTGCTTGATAACATCCCAATAGGGGGGATGAGGGCAGGAAGAAGGCAGGGGGAAATCACTTTGTTTCTTTGGGCTAAATTATGCATTTTTAACTAAAACATATTTGGAAATTCTTTATTTTTTCTATGAGTTACCATTTGGACCTTTTAGTATTATACTCTAATCCGGTTTAGGCATGCTTATAAATTGATGGTTTCATGAATCCCACGTCGTGTATGCTCAGATCTTTGGGTAGAAAAGCTCCCACGAAGTCAAATGGGAAGCGTGTGTGTCTCTGAAATCCCATATTCACTGCTTGAACTTGGCTAGAGAATTCTATGAGATCAAGCTCAAGGAAAAAATATAGCCCATTCTAAAGGGGAATGCCCTCTTCGAATATATGCATAGTAATTTTTAATGAAGCATCAACTCCTCACTTTAATTTATCTGGATTAGTTCCGCAATAAAATTCCTTTAAGACTAGATATTGAAAACAACTTTTTTTAGTTTTTATTCATAAATAGGGTTTCGAGACTACCATTAAAGCAGTTATGTGAAATGTATTCGCCCATCTCTTATAACGTTATTTAGCACTATCAAAAAATACGTAATCTTGCTAGTTTATTTCGCCTTGCCTACTAATACACGCTCCTGAAAGCCAACTTGACGTTCATTTGAGATCTCTTAAGACATAAGTCTTAGTTTTGTCGGTCCCTTCTCTTGATTTCTATCTTGGAAAAGCCCCAATCTTGGTTTAATTGTACGCCACACAGATGAAAGTTTCCAGCAAACAACTCACAAAACCAAAGCAGCCACTAATTCCTTGCCTCAGGAGGTGTACAGAGTTTTCCTCTCCAAATTTGCCATCACTTGCCTCAACGAAGAACCCTAATCCTTTTTTAGCTAATGGTAACCTTAGTCATCTGCCATAAATCTCATGTATCATTTTAATATAATTTTGAAGGCATGAAGACCAAGGTGGTGTGGCCTTTTCATTTTGTTTATTTAAGCCTTACACACCAGCTCTCTTCCTCAATACAGAGGCTAATTGCCCCTCCTCCTCCTCCTCATCCTCCTCATCCTCTTTTTCCTCCTCTTCCTCCTCCTCCACCTCCTGCATATATGGCTTACTACGTAATCTTGCTCCATGTTTGGCCAAAGTTTTGTGCCCACTGTAAAGGAATGTGCAAGGGAGGTGAGGCTGAGGGTCGTACGACAATTGTCATACGAAATAAAAACCTTGTGGGAACCATTGCACATAGTGTGCTGACTACGCTAAATGGGTATATAAAGTAAGAGCTAGAGGAACAAAGAAAGGAGAAGAAGGACATTAATCAGCCCTCGCATCAGCCATTCTGCCATTTATCAACTGCTGAGCATAAAAAATGTATTGGAAAGAAAATAGCTCCGTAAACAGGCCGTTCTTTAGAGGGAAACGGACTCTTTAGTTAAATCAGGCTGTTATAAAATCCGATACCTTTCTATATTCTATGCATAAAAATACTTGAGAATAAAGTCTGACTTCTCGAATTTTTTTGAGTAAAGGGTCGGAATCTGCAGAACATCTGATAAATATGCTCTGTGACGAAGTAAATATTTATGGGGTATGAAAATTCTGGGTGAATTCATTTGTATTATATATTTATAATGTTTCCTCGATCTCAATAAAGTAATCACCTACGATTTGAAAAGCCCTTAGAAATATAGACAAAACATCCTATCGGGCAGGAAATTCTTTGACTATCGATAATTTGCGAAAGCAACCCGTAAATAGATTGGATCTAGTATAACTGATTGTATAAATGCTAATATCTACTCTTGCTCAAGCCATCAAGTGACTAGTATTTTTTTAAGTTTGGCCAAACCTAGCTATGCCTATTACACAAATTAACTATCTAAGAAGGTTCATGAGAATGCTTTAATTCGGCAAAGTTCACAGTTCATTCATACGTCGATGATAATAAATAAAACTTCAGTTGGGATTCTATTTAAATTAGGGCCTTTCCTGGCAGTCTATATTGCCCACACTGCTTACATTATCGTGCCCATAAACATTTTTTTCTTCCTCCTCAATTTAGCACAACATTGTGCACTTCATCTTTTGTTTACTATATGTTTGTTTCCCTTAGCAATTCTTTCTAATCCAGCCCTGTAAATTAGCTGAGACCTGGCCTCCTTAAATAGTTTTTATTAAGTCAAATCAAACCGATTTTCGTGGGTTGTAAATTAGGGTCGCGACTAGCATGAATAATTCGTCCCGTGAAAATATCATGCTATTCAAAATCGTAATATTCTAAGAGATTATAACATATAGAGTTGTTTAATTGCTTCCATCCCATTGGAAAAGCTTGATAAAAATGTTAAAATAGCGCCATTTCCTCCCATTATTTAATGCAATATTATAGCTAGGGATAAACAAAAAGTGTCAAAAACGAAATGGTTTTTAGAGGCAAAGCTACAAAAGAGGGAAAATATCATCCCCTTTTATTTTATGAATCGTCTGCTCCAAAGCTCTTTTTAAGTAGAATCCTTTAAATATTGCGATTCTCCCCTGGTTCAAGGGATTCAATAAGGCTAGCGTGTTTGCTGGACAATTATTACTTTCACATTCGCCCCTAAATCTCTCATTGCAATACTTAACTTTTTAGTGCGGCACCCATTAGATGAATGCCGTTTTTCCCTCTTTCTTTACATCATCTGCATGTCTACAATATTCCATATTGTTTATTCATGCATTCCAACATCTCTGCCAGTTTTAGAATTGCTATCTCTACGCTTGTGTCATTTTATTACATCAAATCTTTATTATAATCTAATCACCAATCGCGTCTCTTTCTAACCTCTAATATTCACTTTAGTATACTTACCCTTGGCTATATTTACCAAGGGGATTTCATATAATTTATAGTGTACTTTTGT